TAATGTATGGAGAGGGTTGAAAATTCATATATGGCCACTAATTAATTATTAATTATTCTTACGTAATGGCATACTTTAGGTTTCTATCCTCTTGTGGAATCTTAGATTATCTAAATCGAAATTTACATAATTCATAATTTTTGTCCGAGATTGCACAACTATTATAAAAAAGCATCCATCAAAGAAATAATATATAAAGATCGATTAATTACCTAAAATAGAAAAGGATATGTAATTAACTAAAGGTTTATATGGTCCATTCCATGATGATAATTTTTTACAAATGTTGTCGTCGCCAATTTCTTTTTTTCCAGCGTCGCCTACAAAACAAAAGTCAAACTTTTCAAACTTTATTATTGTTATTAACTAAAGGAAGAATCGAACATTTTATTACTTGCAGGATTCTTTCCATCATCGATGTTCATATTTGTTGTGTCGTCAACACTTTCTTTTTTGTCATTCAATAATTAATTAGCATAAAATGTCCCACATATAGAACAATGAAAACGTTTGTGCAACATTAATAAAACCTTGTTCTAGATTAATCTTATAAAATAAACTCTTAATGATTATGATTTGCCAATTTTGTCATACCATGCAAGGGTTTATTATAACAAAGGAAAAAAATTAGTAGTGATATGATATAATTAATAAATAATATAAAGAAAACATATTTGGTAATTTTAATTAAAATGCAACCAAATGTTTTCCTGCCATTTTTAACATTCTCGGTATTAAAACACTCTTTAGGAATCTTTTTTTAAGGGATTATTTTATGTTTCAATTAAAAATAGAATGCACAACCAAACTAACAAAACCAATTACCCCCAACGTTCAATCAAACTGATTACTAATCTGTTTCATCCAATTTACTCGTTTAACCAATTAACTATTTCAATTCATTAAATAAAATAAAATAAAATAAAATGATATAATGAAATAAAATAAAATAAAATATGAATATATTTCCGCCTTCCCTCAAAAATAAATTATAGTAGTTTATTGGGTGTAACAAAACAATTAATAAATATTTTGTGGAGTTAAAACTCCAGACACATGTGGTATGCTGTATATGTATGCAATATAATTTGATGAGAATAATATCATCATTATTAATCATTCTTTTAAATTAGCCCTTTCGATAAATCAAGGTTCGTCGTCGTAAAAACCTTTTGAAAAACCTAAAAACCAAAAATTTGAAGCTGTTAAAGAAAGAAAGAAAGAAATTTGTACAATGAATTGGGAACAATGATTGTTGTTGTTGCTGTTGTTATTGCTGTTGTCATTGTAATCTGGTTAATT